AATAGTCTAGGAATTAATTGGAGTTTAGTGGTTTAAGCGGGAGAAATGAATTAATTTGAATAACACGAGGTGGTAGTGGGACTCACCCTACTTAAGTGGACTTGTGCCACTTGTCCAAATCACTATTGCATCTCCACTTCCCTCCTCCCTTTCCTCTCCAACCCACGGCCATGGAGGTTTAGTGGGCAAATCTTCAAGCTTTGATTTCTTACACATTAACTCACCAAAATCCACAAAGTTTGTCATCAAACTTTAAGTAAACAATTATCCCAACCCAACCATACTACTCTCAAGTCTTGAAACTCTCTATTTTGAGAGGAAACTTGGACTCATTCCCATAAAATTTGAAGAGATTGGGTGTTCTTGGAGTTGTTGCTCAAGCCATTGCTTGGGTATTACTTGGTGGAGTCCTAGGCCTTGATTGTGGGTAAGTTTCAACATATTTCATTGGATAAATTGTTGGATTGAATTTCATGAACCCTAGAGCATGTGTTGTGTGATTGATGTGGTTGGGGGTTTCAAATTGAAAATGTGTATTAGATAAAAGTGTCTTAGAATGATGTTTTATGATGATTGAGCTCATGAAAATTATTGATGAAAAGTATGATAACTTAGACAAATTTTATGATGGATATGCATGACTTTGTAAATGGAGGTTGTTGTGTGATTGTGTAATTCAGTTGTGGAGTAACTGTATGGGTTAATTATAGGATTGTAAGATGTGTGGAAGTGTGAAATTGAATTGAAAACTCTTGGGTATACATGCATGCATATTTCGGCCAAGTGAGGAGAAATAAGATGGATGTTGTAAAATTCATGTAATTGGTGTTGTGAGGATTGGAGCTAAGTTTAAATAGGTTGTGTATTGGTGTGATGCATGTGAATTGGAAGCAAAACCATTGGATGTGTGTGGATGTGATTTTTGGCCATAATGAGGTATGTTAGGAAAAATGGTGTTGAATGGTAATTGAATGAAATTAAGGACTTGAATTAGTGTTGTGGTGAGCATAGGAAGCTATTGGAACCTTGTAATAAAATTAACAACATGGCTAGGTATTATTAGACTAATGGTCGAACCTATGTGTGGGATAGGGAAGTGAAATGCTTTGCATTTCAACTTAGTTTACAATTGGATTGATGATCCTTGTGTAGTCATTGTAGGTTGCCTCCCAAGGACGTGATCTTTGAACAGTGAGCTTGATGGATTGCCTTTGGTCCTTGACCAAAAGGATTGTGGTGAGTATTTATGGAAAATTGCATGAATGCTTGAATAACCAATTGTATGGTTTTATGTGTTTCTAATGGAATGGGAATGACCTTGTTTAGGCATTTCTGGTTTGACCAAGTTCAGGTGTAACTTGTATTGGAGCTACCTAGCTTGGGAGCTTTAATAAGATAATCCTTTGGTACTTGGGTTAATCTCTGTGTGTGCTCCTCCATGCCCTTGGGGGTAGTGGTTGGAGGTTGTATGTCAATAATGCAATTATAACATGCTCATGCATATGTATGTATATTGGGTACCTAGTGTGTACCGTATCTCTGGCCAGTAGATAGTTGCCTTATGGTGTTACGGACTTCCACTAGATAAGTCTCCGTGAGGGAGTTCTAGTTGACCTGGGGTCATAGAGCTGTTATCCATTGAGGAGCACTCTAGGAATGGCTCGAGTGTATTGGTGGTGGGTGCCTTGGTTGATGTTCTGAGAACACATCCTTGGATGAGAGCCCATAGGCTATATGTCGAGGCCAATCGGCCGAATGTTGCGTGGTTTTGGCATTGACCATTCCAGCTTCATCGTACGTTTTCTCCCTATACATCTCCACTTCACTAAATCCCTTGCTTTATCCCTTTTTGGTTGTTATGATTCATTGTTGATATTACATCTGAGTGAACCATTGGGCAGAGTGATCTCCAGAACCTCTGGGTTACTGAGATATATTCGTATATCTCACCCCGTGTTTGGGGCATTATTTCAAGTAGTTGTAGCGGGACTGGAGCCATGGGCAAGAGGCCCACAAGATAAGCAATTGGAGTTGGGAGCTTTTGTATTTTGAGGCCACATTTGGCATAGGCTAGACTTAGGGCATGAATATTGTATATTGCCTTAGGATTATGCATCTTGTTATATTTTTTCATGCCATACTTTGCCTAAGTCTAGTTGATTCATTATGTTGTATTTTGAGGATTTATTTGTATTTATGCTTATCATTTAGGAGAATTGTAAATTGTAAATTATGGATCTTGTGTAATATTTGAAGCATGTATGTGATGAAAGAGCAATAGGCCTATTCTAGGTTATGATTCATATGTAAATTGATAAGAATGCATGCAATTGGATAATGTAATTGAAATGATTTAAGTTTTGACAAAGTAAGTCATGAATGGTAAATTGAGGTAATGATATAAATTATTGTGGGTTGTAAGTGCACCAAGGCATTGTTGGTCCTTGAGTGCCACCCTTGTCTATTAGGTACCCTTGAGGCATAATAACACACTTTTGACAAATTGAAAAAGCAAAGAAGATGCTGTCGAAATTTATATAAAATGATATTTTTTAGGGTGAATTTGGGAGAGCATATCTCCCTACACAAAGGTCTAATAGGGACGTGTCATACATCATATTGTGTCAAAATTTGGTAGAATTTGAGACTGTATAGCGATTTATAGACGCATTTGAGTGAAGACTGTACAAAATGCCCCACACGTGGGGGCTGTTGGGTCACTGTTTTGTAAAAATTATTCCCACCTCAATTATTTTTCAAATTAGGCTCATGATATGTAAAATTAAAGCTTGAGGTGTTTAGTTTACTGTATAAAAAAGTGAAAGCAATTGATTGAGTGGTTTGTTCAGAATCGCAGAAAAGGTAGGGTATGTTTGGTGTCCTGTTTGGGGTTGGCTGACAGCTTTGCTTGTCCCACTTCAAACGGTGATAACCAGAGCAAATGAGAACTTTATGGGACGTGTGATACTTTGTTGAAAAGATAATTGAGTGTAGAATAACATACTAAAATATGAGAGGCTTGTAACCACTAAATCACTCGTAATGTCCAAAAGACTGAACCAAGTTCAGTTATGTAAAAACCGTAAAAGTGAGAATTATGCTAAGTAGGTTTATGGGAACCCCTTAGTGACTTAAGATAAGCATTGTACGATAGTTAGAAAATTATTTTAATTATTTTGCATTTAGATTCCAGTTATGATCACAGTTGTCATCATTACGTTTTATTATTGTTTTTAAATGCTTACGTAATGAAAAGGAAAAAATTTACTCACATTTTTAGATGAACTGTTGTGATTGTAACTACGCTTAATATCATTATCAATGTTGACAACACAGTACATAACATGTTGTTACATATAACATATCAAGATATTATATTATATTATATTTCATATATATATATATATATATATATATATATATATGTTGACATCGTAATAAAAAATTTCTTTACCCTAGACTGAAAAGAAGATTTAAACCTAGATAGCTTATCTCAACCAAAAAATCAACTCCACTTGGTATTACATAGATATACTTCTTCCACCTGTAACACCTCGCTACGTATCAGTGTGTTAACACTGTATAGTATTAAGCACAATCATATCTTAAATGAAACATACTTAAAATTTAATTATACATTTTTCAGAAATTAAGTTCACTATTATATCTGAAAAGGACCATATTACATCATATCAAAACTAACGAGAAATGTTTCTATTTCATCAGTCACTTCACGGATCTCCGTACAGTCTTCAAAGTCTTTAACCATAATGTTTTACTCTACTCCAAAACTACACATATTAGGACATTGACCATTATGCCACTCTTATGAATAGTATTTACCTATATGCCACGTTCCAATTAAATTTTGTCAAAATGCCATGTCACATTCTCGCTATGCCAACAAGCGAGAATGGACTGAACATGTGGCAGCATTTGCATGGGCAGTCATTCTCGTTGAGCTGTGTAGCAAGAATGGCTGGTCAATGTGTCAGACTGCCACATCTGCAAAAATTGTCCAGATGGCTAATCTCACTGGGCTGCCCAACAAGAATGCTTGTACTTTTGTCATGTGTCAGATCCTTACCATTCTCGCTGCTTTTTTATTATTATTACGTGATATTTCATATGAGTCATACTAATAAAAAGTGAATCTAAGGTACTAACTGAGACTTACATATTAAAATGAAAATGTTAAAAAATATGTTACTAGCATTTCTAGTTAAAACAAATCTAATTATTTGAGACAGGGGAATAATTTTAGCATACAACTTTTTTATACCTATTTATTTAGAGAAAAAAAAAAGAACAAAAGAAAAAGTATAGTAGTAAAGTATTTTTTATCTTTTTTATTATTATTATTAACTTAAAGAAAAGTAACGCAAGAAAAATGATGTAAGAATAATATCTCCCCATGAGATATTAGTTACACCAGTTGAACTTTCGATCAAGAGACCAATACTTTTTTATTACCTTCAAGAAAAATGGGACCATGCCCTTGATATATACCTTCAACAAGAGACTTCAATTAACCAAGTTAAAAATTAAATGATGATTAGTTGGTGCCAAGAAACTGAGTAAGTAGGGGTGAACGCATGTGTTCGATCCTCTCCAGTACTATCTTTGGGAGGGGTTTAAAGCATTAATCTTAGGATCCTCTCTGAATCGAACTAGTCGTGAAGCGATGAACAAATTAGAATATTTCAAAATAATAAAAAATAAAATAAAAAAACCAAGCTAAAATTTATTGGGAACAAATCATCTAGCTTTCCCGATTTGGTGTATGCAGTGTCATGAAGGATTATGGATACTCCATTGTGTTTAAAATAGGACAAAAAAACACAACATCTTGGCTATCATGATAAATTGTTATCCATCCCAAGTTTATTTGCAGTTCAATTGAAGAAAAGGAAATTAAATGACCACATTGTTTCAAGCATATAAATGCTCTTAGAAACCATAATCTGATAAGTACTCAATAAAGAACAACTGAAAGCTCCTTAATTCTTCTGATTTTCCATGATGGCAGTGATAAAGCAATTGTTAGCATCCTTCAGCGCCTTTGCAGCATTGTTCCAAGAGAGCCCAGTCTCTGACATCATCAAATCAATGTCCCGTGGGTCGAGTCCAAACTCATCTACACTTCAATTATCTTAAGTTATTCACAATTCAAAATATTGTAAAATTATAAAAGAGAGTAAAAGTCAAATTAGAGATACACGGGAGATTAAGTATGTCTTTCAAAAAATTTAGACATCAATTTAATTTTTCATAGTACAAATAATTATCAATTTCAAAACCAAATTGATGTCTACAATTATATGAAGGAACTACGTTAATACCCATTTTAATAAACATTGAAGAACTGATTCAAAATTTCAAAATATTATGTCTACAGGATGTGAAATTGTTCATAATTTGTAATAAATATTTTGATAAACAAAATTACAATCCTAGTTCCAGCACAATAAATTATACATTTTTCTTAGTCAACAAGTTGAGTATTTAACCTTAAATCAACTATCAAATCAGTTAGTCTTCTTATCATTAAATTTTACTGTAGAAAAGTATTAGGGTCATGCAAATACATAATATACCCCATTGCAAAATTACAACAATATATTTATGTCTATGCATTGATTTAAGGAAACGAAAGATATGAAGTCACAAAAACTCATACCATCATCATCATCTTCACTCCCAGTATCTTCTTCCTCATCCTCATTTACAGAATCATAATCTTCTTCTTTCTTCTCCATCTTGTCTTCCTCATTTTCATGCTTAAACTTTTCAGACTATTGAAAAATAAAAGAAAGACAAAGAAAAAAGAAAAGAAAAGTACGATGGAAATATTAATATCAAGAAATAAACCTAAAACAAAATGCAAAATATAATGTTATATATAGATTAAGAAAGTGTTCTATATTCATGCATGACTCATTAGTCGGCCCATAAAGTTGGCACAAAATGCATCTCGAACCCTGCATGTTAACATAGCAGATGAATACAGTGTCGCGTAGTGCTTACATTGCAACCATCTTGATCACGTTATGGCCTTGCAAAGAAATGCTTCTCCAACAAGATTTGATAGTAGGCCTACACCTTAGCGTATAGAGTAAAGGCTCATAGGCTCTAAAGTAGAAAACTTGACCAACCAACAAACATGAGGCTTATGCCCCCAAATACACAGCTTTCCCCTCCATAAGAACTTCACCTTACTCATAAATCGAGTTTGACATCGAATTTGGAGAACGAAGAGCAACAATCAAATGATGAATGGTTGAAAGCAACCCACGATTGACACAACAAAGAAGAATTAGCACAAACCCAGGTGGAATATTGTTCGTCCATCATGGTGAACCTTGGGGTGTTTGGTACGCGGTATTCTCCAGGATTCTTGGGAAACTGAATTTTTCTAAATTTTTAATTTTCGAATATTATCGTAAACTGAATGTAAAAATCGTATTTCTGAAAATCGAAATTCTCGGATAAAAACAAATTATTCTCTACCAAACGCCCTTCCTCTAAAAGAGCTGAAGACACGAATGAAGACCACTTGAAGATCGATCCATGCAACCTGTGTTGCCATTAGTACTAAAGTGGTCATGGCTTCCCACCCTTAAGTTGGTGGCATTCTAAAAGTCACAACCACCATAACTGCCTTTGTGATATCGCTGAGCTCTCTGGTTGCAACCGAAAGAATGAATACTCAACATACTGGCAAGGCCAACATGAAACTTCCTGACTTACTTCTTGTAGGGTCCCAACAAGAATCTTTGTAAGCAAGATGCCTTCAATACAAAAGAGGTACCAAGCAATGGGGGAAATGAGCATCAAGACACGCCTCTTGGTTGGAAAGGAGGCATTTCATGCAGAGTGGTGGATCCAGGGAAAAAAGTCAGGTAGTGCCAAAAAATTTCACCAGGTAAAATCAGATGGTGCCAATATTGTATTATTTTTAGAAAACCAACTAAAATTAAAGTTGTTCAAAATTTTAAAGAAAATCTATACCATTTTAAAAAATTAGGTGGTGCCAAGGCACCACCTACCTCCCAAGTGGCTCCGCCACGAATCATGCTTATAATGCACCCGAGTGGCAAAAACACTAATGCACCCGCTTATTTAGTTTCTATAAGTATTTATCAAACAAATAAACAAAAATATTTTACTAAGTCGCATATGTTTCAAGGCACCCCTAGGGTCACTGTATTCAACCCTGAAAAACAAATCAAAACCAAGGGAAAAATCTCTTGTAATATTTTATGAAGTACGACACATGTTTAACGGGTCTCGACCAAATAAAGGAACTGATGGAAAAACCGTTAATATTAATCCTTGAAGGAGGGCATACAATAAATGATAATCAAGAACCTATAGGTGGAAAAGCGGGTACCCGGCCCGACCCGCCTCTCCTCCAACCTATCTTAAAATAACCTAATTAGCCCCGCCCCACTATTAAAAGTAGGTTAAAAAATTTAACCCACTCCAACCCGTCCCGCCAACCCCCTAACATATTAGAAAAATGAATTTTTGAAATAAATTATACTGTCCATAGATGTAAAAGGTTCAAATGATAACAAAAGAGGAGTACAAAATTTCATTAATTAATATTTTTAAAAAATAAATAAAAAAATAACATAGCAGATCAACCCACGTAACGACGGGTTGAACCCGTTTTGACCCGCCCTTAAGAGGGGAGGGTCCAAGCGGGTTGGCGGGTTGGAAATTCTAACCTAACCCGTTGTTTGTGGCGGGTTAAACGGGCGAACATGACAGGTTGAACCTGTTTTGCCACCTCAAGAATAATCCTAAAGAAGGACAAACATCAAGTTGTAGTAACGAACTCCAGTAGTAATCTTTAAAGAAGGACACACATTGGACAATAATCAAGAACCCTAGGAGTAACCCTAAAGAAGGGAACTCATAGGTGATAATCAAGAATTTCAGTAGTAACCCTTGAAGAATGGCATAAATTGGTAGGTATTCAAGCACCCAAATATAACACCGCATGGAAATCAAAAAAACTAACATCAATTCCAAAAGGTGACTACACCACAAAAAAGGATACACACCAGGTGAACCTATGCTAAAAGATCGGTTCACTACGGTCCAAATCTATCCTTTACAACAATGCAACAAACCAGATCTGCTATGATCTCGATCACTGCACCCAATGCTATGACGACATGTGTACTACAAGATACAAATTATCAAGCATCGATTGTATGCATATCAAAATATATTTAAACAATTTAATCAATAACTATCAATGACCTAATATTTGATTTCCACTTGAAATCAAAAATTAATTAAAGCATAAACAACAAAAGAGGAAAAGAATTACCTTGTCATTGATGATATTTGGAGAGGATGGTGGTGGGACTTGATCAATATTTTCAGTGATATTGGAGAGCGATGACTGGCGACGACTACATTGTAAGTAGGTATACTGATAAATAATTAATGAAATTTTTTAATGAAACATGGAAATGAAATATGAAAAATATACATACTGGTTGAAGATGGGTTCCATGCCAATGACGTTTGCTTGGTGAATGCAATTCGAGAACTTTCGAAACGGCTGAAATTAGGGTATATGGTACAAAGGGCTTATTGCAGAAAAATGAGATGATATTATGACAAATATTTATATAAGGATATCACGTATCTGAAAAGATTTTTTTCTTCTTAAATACAGATATACTAGTCACGTTGACCAGCGCCTTTGAAATGCAACTTCCTTCTTTTCATGCCTTTTTTTGTTACAATATACACCTTCCTTTTGTTTTTAATCTATACCACTCCCACCCCACATTGTCCCTTGCCTTAGATTTTTAGTCACACTTTTCTTTCCATTGGCTTCTCTTGCAACCATCGACACAACCATAATTACCTTCTTTTTTTACTCAACCATTCCAGAAAATAAAAGCATAAAAATTTGAGAAAGTGATGGAGCAATTAATGGTGACAAGACTAGAAGAAAGGGTCTTTGAAAATTGATAACAACAATTAAATGTGAGAGTTGCATTGTATCATAAATGGTGAAGGATTTTATAAGAGTTATGTTGTAGGAAAAGTGATTGTGTAATGTTATAGAGATTCGTTTTGTGTGCCGTAGTTTTTTCTTTTTCTTTTTTCTTCAAAAAGTATGGGCCCCACAAAATGTTGTGTGTGTAGGAAAGTTTATTGTGTCATGTTAAATGACAAATGCAAACCCCAATTGTGAATGATAATTAATAGTAGTGATGGAATAAGGAGATATGAGGGGGCTACATGGTGCTTAAAGTTGAAAAACAAGTCTATTTTGAATCTCCAAGTGATCCTATTTATAGGCATTAAATGATCTCAATGCTTCTAATTTCGTTTAGATACGTGAAGTCTATTGTTGGGCCTCTAAATTTTTTGCGCGTACAAATGGAATCATATGGGTCTGTTTAAGTCTTCATTGTCTAAAGAGCAAGGGACCTCTTACCGGGAGATTTTGAGACCTTGGAGTGTTGTAAATATGATATGAATATTGCATAATAATTATAGATTCATTTTTCTCTTCTTCTTTATATCTTCTTTCTCTTGTTCTTCTTCTTTCCTCTTCTTCCTCCTCCTCAATTCTCTCTAATCACTTTGTCCTTGGAGTGTGACCCTAGAGCTAGTTACTTTCCCCTAAAGGCGTAGAGTACAAAGATTTTGCCTCTGGTCTTAAAGAATTTCTCCAAAATTGAATCTAAAACTTGATCCTTAGGCACACTCTGCTAAACTAGTGTGGTTCATTTTTCTTTTTCACATATTAAGATGTTATAGGATATTATACCTACCTATTTTTGTGCCTACTTTACCTATTTTTCTCCAATATTGTTAGATCATAATCTCAATCAACCTTCATCATTTCTCTCTCCTTTTATAATTAGTTGTGTTTGTGATCTAACTGTTATGGACCTCACAAAGGCCCACATTTTAGAAGGCCCAAAAAGGGCTATCGGCTAAGAGGAAATTAAGGAAAAAATTCTTAATTATACTAATCCTACTATGGCAGCAATAGATCAACAATTGAACCCCTAATATTCCTAAGAGGCCCAAAAGTTAACTCCTATTAGGTAACCCATCTATAAATAAGGGGTTAAGCTAATAAAGTACACAGATTCTAAACCCTCTCTCTTAGTTGTCACTTTGCACACACCCCACCCTTTGGCTATGCCGTTTATTATAGTGCATAGTGATTGCTGATCTCTAAGGTATCTCTCCTATAGATACCTGATAGAGGGCACACAGATCCAACATAAACATACCCACCATTAGATTGGATATCCCGATTTATCAGATCGGAATATTGGCGCCATCTGTGGGGAATCGATAAACTTCGATTCCCACCTATTGATGGTGAAAGCGCAGCAGCCGCCACCATATCCAAAGTCATCACCGTTCAAGGCTGACCAGAGTTCACAATTTCTTCAACAAGCTTGACGAAATCGAGATAATGGATCATGATTATAATAGAGATCTAGATTGGTACTGGATCGAGATCATGATCGTGATTGAGACCGCCACCGTGATCGTGATGGGTCAGATGCGTATGATCAAAGTGCCAAAAGCAAATAAGAAAAGGACAGGACGCGAGATCCACTCAGAAAAGGAAGGAGATCCACTCAGATAAGGAAATAATTCCTTAATTTGATTTATTTCTTTTCTTTCAATTCATATCATATGGCTCAAATAAAGAAAGGACAGGAGAACCATTCAGAAAAAGAAAGAGATCCACTCAGATGAGGAAATAATTCCTTAATTTGTTTTTAATTATTTCCTTTTAATTTGATTTGCTCAAGATCTAAAGTGGTAAAAAAGTCATCGCCCTCACTAGTGAAGCAATTCGGCCATAGAGTCGAGCTCCAAAACAACCCAACTAAAGCTTCAGGTTCCAAATTCAGAAACTTAGACATCAATCCCAGATAAAGATGAAGACAAATTGGAGAGATGAGATCCTAGCAAAAAGATCACACCCCAATCTGAGATAAAGATGAAGATGAAATTGGAAAGATGTTATCTTAGCAAAAGGATCACACCTCAATCCGAGATAAAGATGAAGATGGATTTGGATAGATGTGATCCTAGCAAAAGGATCACACCCCAACCTGAGATAAAGATGAAGATGGAATTGGAGAGATGTGATCCTAGCAAAATGATAACACCCCAATCCGAGATAAAGATGAAGAAGAATTTGGAGAGATGTGATCCTAGTAAAAGGATCACACCCCAATCCGAGATGAAGCCAAACTTACGACTTAGGCGAAAGAAGCCAAGTCTGAATAAAAAGCTATAGCAAAATCAAGAAGGCACATGCTGCCTTTATATACACGAAGACCTTGGCATAAAAGTCAAGACAAACCAAAGAGCCACGATATAATGAGCCAAGATAGATATATACAAAGCATTGAACGTGTTCGTGACATTAAGACTTAGGCCAAAGCCAAGTCATCAAAGAAATAAAGACCGGCCCTCCGGGATAAAAATGGTTGATTGAATAACGACCGACCATCCGAGATAAAAATGGCTCACAAGTTAAAACAACGATAAATTACCCCAGTAAACTCAAGATTTTAGCAACAATGTCGAATGATAAAGTCGCGACAAGAGAAGTCGGGCTTAACTCAAAGAGTTAGGCGAAAGAAGAAAAGTCGAGAGAAAATTCACAGAAATAAAGCTAGGCTTAGATAAAAAGGCCATTGCGAAAGAAGCCGAGCTCTAATTCAAAGAGGTGGAATCTGCCTCCATAAATGGAAGATTTGCAAAAGCCAACTCCAAAAATAAAGCCACGGAATGTGAAACCAGGCTCACAAATCAAAACAACGAAAAACTGCCAGTGAATTTAAGACTACAGCAACAAAGTCGAGTCATATTAAAGAGCCTCGGTATGCAAAGTCGAGCTTAAGAAAAATAAGACAAAAGTCAATTTCGGAAATTTATAGCGATTCAGGCCAAGTCGAAATACAAGAACCACGGTATGGGAAGCCGAGCTCAAAATGAAGAAGACAAAAACCGTCTTCGCCAACTGACAAAAAAATGGTCCAAATTAAAAAGGCCACTGTGAAAGAAGTCGATCTCAAATAAAAAAGTCACAGCGAAAAAAATCAGCCTCAAAAAAGTCATCGCAAAAGAAGCGGAGCTCAAATTAAAAGGCCACGACAGGAGAAGCTTGGCTCAAAATTAAAGAAGCGAACACCGCCTCGCCAAACTCAAGTCTTCAGGCAAAGGAAGCCATTTCGAAATCAAAGTCACGGAAATAAAGCCCCCACAGGAGAAAGAATCCAACTCCGTAAACAGGAGAAAGAAAGGGGAATTCATACTACCAGATCAAAAAAAGACATGGAACAGACTAAACAACATACTTCACAACACAAAAGGGGGCTCAAGCCCCCACAAAAGGAAGGCATGCAGAGTGACTTAAGAACGCTAAGAAGATGCCAATTAAAGATGGACCTAGAAGCATCTGAGATGTAAGAAAACTATTATAGCCTGCCAGCCTGAACACTCAGACTACTGGACTGGGGAGCAACTGTTATGGACCTGAAAAAGGCCCACGTTCTAGAAGGCCCTAGAAGGGCTAACGGCTAAGAGGAAATTAAGAAAATATTCTTTAATTATACTAATCCTGCTACGGTAGCAATAGATCAACAACTGAACCCCTGATATTCCTAAGAGGCCTAAAAGTCAACTCCTATCAGGTAACCCATCTATAAATAAGGGGTTAAGCCACTTTGGTACATAGATTCTAAACCATCTCTCTCTTAGTTGTTACCGTGCATATACTACACTATTTGACTATGCCGTTTATTATAGTGCACAGTGATTCGTTGATCTCTAAAGTATTTCTTCTATAGTTACCTGAGAGAAGGCACAGAGATCCAACAAAAACATACCAACCATTAGATTGGACATCCCGATTTATTAGATCGAAACACTAACATTATTGGAAAGAAGTGAGAAAAGTAAGCATTAAAAAGTAAGTTTAATGTCTTATCTCTTAAAACATAATATATTATAGACGAAGTAAGTGACAAATTATAAGTTCAATTTAATTTGTATCTGTTTTCCTATAATCACATTTTCCTTAAGAGAGTAATTATTTGCATTACAATATTTTTTATATACAATTTAGACATGAATATTCAATTCATAATATTATCTATTTCATATTCCAACCACAATTAATATTTTCTTGATTTTTGAAAAGTTGTAAATAATTTAAAATGAATTTAAACTTTTAAAATAACATTTATGTAGAAGGGAAAAGAATATTTCATCCATTTAAATAAATTATTGTAAAAACGTAAATTTGTTTCAAAATATTTTTAATTCTTATTTTTTTTAAAATTTTATCTTTTTTATTTTATTTTTATCTCTTAAAAAATGAGAGAAAATATCAATAAAGAAAATTATAATTTAATCAAATATAATTTCATTTTTTTCAATTAAAATATTTAATAAATATAATCTTAGTACAAAACGTTAAAAGAGAAATTATTTTAAAATGAAAATATGTTA